CCTTGTTTTCTTCCTTGGAGCAGGAGTGGCATCATTATGTGCCCTAAGCTCTCGAGAGACAGTTGATTGCGTGGTTATAGCAATTTCTGCAATTTCTCTGGTAGACTTGCCTGCTTTTGAGAGGGCAATAATTGATGCCTTAAGTGGTTCTGATGCGTGTTTGTATCCTTTCATCTGGTTAGTGACTTGAGCGGCTATTTCAAACTGTTTTTATACAGTATGAGGCTTTCTGGAATATTCTGGATTACTCTAGATTTAATTTAAGCTGTTCTAGAATTCTCTAGAATATTGTTCTGAGTGTATTGTAAAATAGTTTTCAATAGTTTGTCAAAAGCTCCTTAAATTTACCAGTTTAATCATTAGAATGCGATATCTGAGTCACTTTTTTTGCACAGAGTTTTTTCCTGAATCTCATTTATATCCAAATTTATAATTATCAATAGAATACCTTAGGGTGAATAAACTTTTTTCCGAGGTGATCTGGAAAATTTTATTTTAACCCCGAATACAATAGACAAAAAATATTTTTATTAAAAAAATCAGGTGATTCAATTTTATCGGACAGCACTGTATATCATGCGTTCGAGTGTAAACAATAACCCGCGGAAAAAAATTTAGAAAAATAATTATGACATTAGTTCGATTCTTATTAATTATAACACTTCATCCTCAAAATATATAGAATGTGCGATTTTATTTGATTCATATAACCATTTTTTTCATAAAGGTCTTGTTGATTATACCGCACGCAAGATTACGTGAAATTTAAATTTCCAATGGAAACCAAGTAGCAAAGTTAAACTACTTTTTTATCCGGTGACCCGTAAGGGCAGCATGTGTACTGCACCCGCAGTAGAAGTGGTGTTTCTTGGGCAAGATGGCCTGACGGAGCCCAACCCTCTCCAGGCCTCTTTTGAATTCAGTGTTTTTTCTTTTTCTTTGACCCAAGGTTACAAAACACAGTCTGCCCTGCTGTTTACCCATAGCTGGGGGAGAAGAAGAGGATTCATACCTTTCCCAAGGGTATTAGCACGTAATTGAATGTAATGGATTCGACTGGAATTCGAACTCGGCTCTCCGATTCCTCAATCCGAGCCACTATCTATTATTCCACTGTTGGGATAAATAAATAATATTCTGTTCTTTTTTAGACGGTATTTAAAAGTAGTTCCTATGGTAAGGACAATTTTTTACCCCATAACTGTTATTTTGTTAGACTCCAGAAAGGCTGCTTCTTCAATCACTGCACAATCTTTAGCGTCTTCAGATCTAGTGACAAAAGTGAATTATCCTACATGCATTTTTTACTCTTTACTTCCTACGTTTACATACATACTCATTCAGGAACCTCTAACTTGTATTGAGTAAACAATAGCAAAAGAGAAAGAGACAGAGAGAGATGGATAAAAGGAGAAAAAAGAGAGAGAGAAAAGAAAAGAGGGAGTAAGAGAGGGGAAAAAGAGAGCGCAGAAGAGAGAGAAAGATAAAGGGAGGGAGAAAAAACAGAGAGTAAGAGATAGAGGAAGAGAAAGGAAGGATAAAAATAGAGCGTAAAAGAGAGAGAAAGGGAGGAAGAAAAAGGGAGGGTAAGAGAGAGAAAGGGAGGGAGAGAGAAAAAGAGAGAGAAAGAGAGTGGGAAAAAGAGAGAGTAAGAGAGGGAGAGTAAGAAAAAAGAGAGTGAAGAAAAAGAGAGAGTAAGACAGAGAGAAAGGGAAAAGAAAGGGAGGGAGAAAATGGAAACTAAGAGAGAGAAAGGGAAAGGGAGGGAGAAAATGGAGACTAAAAGAGAGAAAAGGAAAGGGAGGGAGAAAAGAGAGATTAAAGGGGAGTAAGAGAAAGAGAGTAAGAGAAAGAGAGAGAGAGAAAAAAAGGAAAGAAACGCAGATGTAAAACACTAACAAGCTGCATCACCCGGCGGTTGAGCGATACGAAAGCAAAAGGAGCATGAAGCCAACCATCGATAAGCGTAAGCCTAGACAACTCGGGACGCCAACCGATGTAGTCAAAACACCCAACATGTGTAGCAACTTTTGTTTAGTTTTGTTTCGTTTTGTTCAAGCATTTCAAATCAATACGAAGCAAATCTATTACAATACGTTCGGGACGTTAATAAAATATGAATAAATTGATTTCATTGTATTATGGCAGCATTTCAAAATGTTTGGTTTAAATTAGCTTACATTTTTATGAACATGCAAGAAAATAAATAATTCCACCTTCCCCGACATCATATACATTTATTCTTACTGTCCTCCTCAGCCTCCATACTCACACTTCCTTGTGGAGAATAAAGACCCAACCTCAATGTAGTAGGTGTTACTGCTGTGGTATCAGTAGCAACTACGTCCTGGGTAAGGCGATAAACTCCATCCAACAGCAAGGCCCCTGATCAGGAGGTTTTGAGGAGTGTGGAACCACCTCTTAATTGCTGCTGTTCCCAAGTCCACCCTAACTCGGGGTGGTGGCACCTGTTAGGGTCCCAGCTATGGGCAAATAGTTAACCCCCCCCAAACTGGGGTCAAAACGTGTAAAATAATAGGTTTTAATACGAGCGATACATTTTTGTAAAAAATATTACCAGCAATAAATTTTCGAGGAATAATTTATTACCAGCAGTACATTATTACCAGCAATAGTTTTTTTTGAAAAAAGAAATGTTACCAGCAATACTTTTTTGAAAAAAAAAATTACCAGCAATAAAAATCTTGTCAGCATTAAATAAATCACTGAGGTTGATATGCTATAAAACAAACCAAACCAAACCAATATATACCGAGATAGATAGATAGATAGATAGATAGATAGATAGATAGATAGATAGATAGATAGATAAAATATTGCCAACAATAGAGATTTTATCGGCATTAAATAAACCATTGAGGTTGATATGCAGTAAAACAAAACAAAACAAACCAATAGATAGATAGATAGATAGATAGATAGATAGATAGATAGATAGATAAAAAATATTACCAGCAATACAAATTGTATCGGCATTAAATATCCCATTGAGATTGATATGCCGTAAAACAAAGCAAAGCAAAGCAAACCAATCAGTAGCAAGTGTGAATTTTATTGGGTGATGTTACCAGCCTCATGTTTAAATGCTTTTAAATTCAGTGTTGTACTTCTAGATACTTTGCCAACCAAGGTTTGAGTGCCTAGTCTCTAATTCTATCTGACTGAAAGCTGAAGAGAGACGAGATGTATTCATACATAACCCAATAGAATTTGTGCAAAAGTGACTGTAAACCAATCTGTACGCTGATTCCGCATTCCGTGCCAAGAATCACGAAGTTACGCGCGCATCAATTCTTTCTTTAAGAAAGGTAAAAATCTAACTTAAACGCAAAAAAAAATTCTCATAGTTTATAAAGAAGTTACTGCAAAAAATCAAACTTGTTAAAATGGCGCATATCTCACTAAAAGTTCTCCACGATCAGTTAGACAAGATGATGTTGACAGCTCTCACCTCATGATATTCCTTAAGGATAATCAATTTTATATAACCCGGCAGGAAGCAATCATACACAACTTAATTAAGTTGAAAATAATTTGCTTTTTTATGTTAGTTGCTTTGATGTGTGTTTTTTTTTCCTGGTGCCCCGACTACATGAATTTAAGTGTACTACTAGATTGGCATTTAGGTCCCACCCTTTTACTCTTGAAATAGTTAAATGGAACCACCACTTCCATTCTAACAATTTCTTTTCTCGCACTTCCACCTGTGGAACTCCCTTCCGTTTACTCGCTTCTCAGATAACTGCAGTCTCCAAAAATTTAAATGCAACGTGAATCGCCATCTTCTATCTTCTTGAATCCTGTTCATCTTTTGTCCTTTCCTCAATCCTATCTCAGTCTTTTCTCTCACTTTCACTATTTGTAAGCCACTGCATACTATTGGCATTTTCACTTTGCTTGGGGTGAAATGATTAGAAAAAAAAAAAGAAAAATATTAATCAAGTAAAAAAAAACAAATATTTGATGGTATGGGATTCTATTAATGATGGCATAGAAATATTTTTTTAAAATTTTATTTTTATTTACTTTTATTTTTAATTTGAAACTGTTTTTGATATATAAGACTAGTAAAAATGCGACTGTAAAGTAAAAATGTTTTAGCAGATTATGGAGAAATTTAGGCAAATGGTCTAATGTTTCAAAATGTTTCAAAAATTATTGTGCTTAAGCTTTCTTACTGAACGATACTCCGTGATGAGTTTGACAATAACCAAATCAATGATCAACGTCACGTGACGGACAACTTGAGAAATAAATCACCTACTGAAAATATCTAGACAAAGCAATGAAATAATTTGCACTGACTTGGCTATGTTAGACATTTTCATGTGTGACTTCCACATAACCAAAAAAACTTGCGATTTCGAAATTCTCTCAAAGACTTGACACACAAAATGTTGCGTCGTTGAAACAAATTGTGAGGAGCGATGAAAAGTCTTAATTTACAACAACATGCAAGAAATTGTGGAGAAATAAAGTGAATCATCACGAAGCGTAGCAAAGGCTGGTCTTCAGACAAAGAATATAACTCTGTGTATAAGGGAATATTAGAAAGAAGTGTTGTACTAGTAGTTTCTTCCAGACGATCAAGTGATAGATTGGAGATAGTAGAGTCTAGAATGAAAATAGTCAAGAGAAAGGGAACAATATTTCGTCAGAATAACCCTCGAGCACTTTTTTGTGACTGGGACGCTTACCTGAAAATGCCTATCCATTGTTTCCTGTAAGTTGCTATGTATTGTGGGTACCATTTATTATGGCATTTACATAATTCTCTTAACGAAAGAAAAATTCAGTTTCCTGACACACTGACGAGGCCATCTAGGGCTCCGTGTTTAGTGGGGATGATTTATGGTAATGCTAATGATAATTAGGAAATTAAACATTGCCTTACAATTTTTATCGCTCTTTTTAGAACTGCTGAGTGTTTGGTTTGGTTTGTTTTGTTTTCTGGCATATCAACTTCAATGGCTTATTTAATGCGAACAAAATGTGTATTGCTGGTAATATTTTTCTTTCTATCTATCTATCTATCTATCTATCTATCTATCTCAGTATATATTGGTTTGGTTTGTTTTGTTTTACGGCATATCAACCTCAATGGGTTATTTAATACCGACAAAATTTGTATTGCTGGTAATATTTTTTTTTTATCTATCTATCTATCTATCTATCTATCTATCTATCTATCTATCTATCTATCTCAGTATATATTGGTTTGGTGTGTGTGTTTTTTTAATAGCATATCAACCTCAATGGTTTATTTGAAGCTGACAAGATTTTTATTGTTGGTAATATTTTTATCTATCTATCTATCTATCTATCTATCTATTGGTCTGGTTTGTCTTGTTTTACGGCATATCAATTTCAATGAGTTATTTAATGCCGACAATTTTTATTGCTGATAATTTATTTGTTTTGCTAAAAACCTATTTCTGGTAATATTTTTTTCCTTCAAAACTGTCTTGCTGGTAATATTTTTTTTTCAAAAACGTGTTGTTGGTCATTTTTTTTTCTTCAAAAATTTATTACTGATAATTGTTTACAAAGTATTTCTGGTATTAAAACCTATTTTTACACTTTCATAGTGATTTGACCCCAGTTTCGGGGTTAACTATTTGCCCATAGTTGGGACGCTAACAGGTGCTGCCACCCCGGGTCAAGGTGGACTGGGGAACACCAGCAATTAAGAGTTGGTTCCATGCTCCTCAAAACATTCTGATCAGAGACCTTGCTGCTGGGCGTAGTTTATCGTCATACCCAGGACGCTGCTGAGTGTTTGCTTCCAAAACTTTTATTTAAGGCACTGGGAAAAGCCAATATCTTGATTATATCATTATTTTCTCTCTTAGTTCTGTACGAGGGCTGCTTTTAAATGTATCAGGACTGTTGCCATAGTAACGGATTTAAGGTACGCAGAATGAAGTCCTTGCGCACAGATTGACTTTAAACAAAGACTACCTTATAATATTCTCGTTCACTTCTCTGGTTTATAGCGGCGGTTGGAAGGAAAGTGTGTAGAGTGTGGTCGTTTAACCACGCCACACAGGTTCCATCAGGTATCATAGCTTGTGCGGTAGTATTTACGCAAGCACGATATTCCACAGCTCCAGCAACCACTGTATTCCGCAGATCTCACCCTTTGCAACATTTTTCCTCTTCAGAATCCAAATCCAATTTAATGGAACCAAATATCCAGTCGTCTAGGAAATCGACGACAATTCGACGAGGCAGCTGATAGCTCTACCTAAAAAAAGGAGTTCCAGGAATGCTTGTATCAACGGTTGATAAAGTGTGTTGCTTCATAAAGTAATTACTTCGAAGGGGATTACGTCTAAATAGATTAAATACCGAATTGATGTTTTCTAGTTTTCAATTTATAGCACCAGTCCCGATAATTTTTGATCAGATTTTGTATACTAACCACATTTTGTTGCTGTTGTTCGAAAGGCTCATGTTATGTGATTTTTGTTTTTTGGTAAAGCAATTTATTTGGGGCCAATTGACCTATTGGCTCTATAGGGATCAATGAATGACCTTATTTGAGATTTATAGGATTTATTTGGTTGAAATAATTTTTTTAATCCTAATCGGGCTTATTCGACTCCAAAATGAATTTGCAGACCAACCTTAAATTTCATATCAAAACCAAAGACATATTATGATGATTAATTAACTGTTTCTATACATGAAAAAATGCTTTCATTTAGCGAAGCGTTAGTCTTACTGTCAGTTGAAATTTATAATTCTTAAAATATATTTTCAAAAAATCAGACTTCACAAGTCCTCTGACTGTTATCACTCTTTCTATTATTGATGGGAATTTACTTCTTAAACTGTTTAAAAGTTAGTGTGGAAAGTCAACATCTTGATTATGTCATTAGTTTCCCGTCAAGTTACATACACGATCGATATTGTTGCTGTTGGGTTGCTTAGTTTTAATGTAGATGACCTCCAATAAATTAAAACAAAGCAACCCACACTCAACAAAATTACATTTCAAACTAGTGACAACACATTACATCTAGGCATATGGTTATGTTGTTAATATTTCGGTCTCTGTCGTGGTATGACGTCATAGAACCACATCACTAATTTACAATCTGCATCTGCTATTCCGCGACTGTTATTGTCGCATAGCAGTCTTCTATGTCAACATAACAAAATATCATCTTTGATGGTGAATATCTTCGTTTAAATAAAAAAATAAGTAAATAAATAAAAGTAAAAATTAATCCAAATAAATAAACAAATTAACAATTCGCCCCCGCTAAAATAACCGTTAGAACAAATATAAATAAGCATAAATAAGTAAAAACAAGTAAAATAATAAATCCAAATAAATAAATTAAAAACTGTCCACCCATCAAAATAACAGAATAGACTACTGTAAGCAAATCTAAATATTGAACATATATAATAAATAGCTTCAATTATATTCCGAGACAAAGACAATTAAATAACCGACCTAAGCAAATCTCACCAATATTTTTATTACTAAGTTGATAAAACATCAACAGTCAAAATGAATAAATGATACAAAATGAAAATGAAAAATAAATTAGCCCAAGCAAATAAATAAATAAACAAACAAGCCACTCCTGTAAAAATAACCGCCAGAATATATTACCCACAATACACCATTGACCCATATATATAAATAGTCGACGAAAAACCCAAGATTCGCGGCCTGAGGATTGCGCCTAGCATAAAACAGCCTGTCGCCTCTGAGTGTTGACTTCAATGTTCACTTTTAGATTTATATTTACATATGCTCTATCTCTGATATTGAGCATTTTATCCCATAAATATAGCACACATTAAAACTATATTTCTTCATATATATATATATATATATATATATATATATATATATATACAAACAGTTTTTATTAAAATGATCGGATGAGGTCTTTTTTCATGTTTTATTATATTTCTACAATTTGTGGATAAGGTGTTGAGTATTGCGCTCCAAGTTGTGGATAAATTTTTATTATTGACTTCGACCAGTTTATCCCTAACTTCAAGCACAATTCTCAAATCGAATACTTTTGATCAATACTAGCTGCCAAAATATCCTTTATATAAGTACTTTAATATATTTATATATATATATATATATATATATGTGTGTGTGTGTGTGTGTGAGTAAGTAAGTGTGTGTAACGTGGGCGTCTTTATATATTTACATACGCTCTATCACTGATATTATGCATTTTTGCCCTTTAGTACAGCATACCTAAAACTTATATAAAATATATATATATATATATATATATATATATATTATCGCGTGCGTGCAGTATTGCATACAATAGGAAGGACTAATCCTTGGCCTCCTCATGAGGAACAGATGCACTTTCAATGAGCTTTTTCGCTTTGAATGCCTATTTGGATCCAAGTTCATCCCTAACCGCATCTGGACTCGTATATCCGATTCACGATAAAGATACTGGGAAAATAGTCGCTTCCTTGAACTGTTTCAATGCTTTATGACTACAAGAGTCAAATACGATCAAATTTGGATTACTGCTGTCATATTTGGGCTGTAGCTGCCAAATCCTCACTTTTCAGCCTTGACAGAATTCAAAAAAACAAAAAAATTACGGGGCTTTTCCGGGATGACATAGGATTGAATCGTACTGCTCCTTTGCGCAAGACATAACGTCGCCTATCACTACTCTATCGCTACTTGCAGAATGACAGACCCGCCTGGCTATGTCCGCAGTGTTGAATCACCCTACTTCTTTGGTAAGAAGAGCCGAAAGTTGCATCCCAAATAGCGTTGCATTGTGGATCAGATTCCCGAGATGATTATTCGCCAAAGACTCCGATCTTTAGCTATCTATCCGCCATATCCTCATAATCTTCACTTCCTATTTTGTCCTTTAACACTCAGTAATCTTCTACCTTGAGTGGCTCCTCGTCATTGCATTGGGCGAACTTTAGCAGTAAATAAATAAATAAATTTCGGTAAGAATTTGAACTGCGCGCGGGATCCGAAGTACGCCATTTTAGTCTCTGCCTTTGGTGAGCAGTAACCAAGTAGACAATTGAAACTGTGTTAGCTTCAGTATTTTTTTCCCTCTCCGCGGTCAACGCCCACCACTAAAAATACGAATTCACACACTTATTATGTTTGCGTATGGCTGTGTAGAACATATTCGTTTATTCTATATACGATTATTAAATGGCGGACTGCGCTCTCAAATTCGGCAGACCAACGCTGAAATAGTATTCTCATTCTAATGTTTATTTATGGAATTTGTGTCAGTGTAGTCATGAGTGCAATATTTAAACAAAGTTCTCTCAATCTTTGCTACGCCCTTTCACTATCTCTCGCCCTTTCTCTCTCTCTCTCGCTTTCTCTCTCTCTCTCTCTCTCTCTCAATATATATATATGTGTGTGTGTGTGTATGTATGTGTGTGTGTGTGTGTAGTTCTTTCAATCTGAATGCGATATTCGAAATATAATACAGCTTGAATTTCATATACCGCCAGCCAGCCAAATGTTTATCCAAGAAAAGGCACATTCAGAGACATCATTGCACGCATCGTTGAAATACGACTCCATCACACACAGACGCACACTTATACTCTCACACGCATTTTCTTTTCCCTGTCTTCTCTCTCTCTCTCTCTCTCTCTCTCTCTCTCTCTCTCTCTGTGTCACACACATATATACGCCTGCTTTCTCTCTTCATTATTCCCGCCTATTTTCAACACATACGCTGATAGAAAGCGCACTGACACACAGACAGACACGAATCTTCTCTTCCACTCTTCACACTTTCCCAGTGTATCTTATGCACATGCGCACTCATACAAACACTTACTTGCTTAGGTCGGTTATTTAATTGTCTTTGTCTCGGAATATAATTGAAGCTATTTATTAAGCAACATCGTGTCTGGTCAGTACCTAGATGGGTGACCCCTTGAAAATACTAGTATAAGCTTGGATGTGTGGGTGGTGTAATATAAAATGGTTCGAATTGTTAATCAAACAGCCGAGTTCCAACTCCCTTAAGGTTCGTTATATTCACCTGTGAATGGTATCTACATTTTCCCCTCATAGTTATTGGTTAATTAGTAAGATTTGTAACCCCTAATCCATTATTATCTCCAAAACAAAAAGTCTTACAATCTAAAATATTTTCTAGCTGTAAGTAACCATCAAAAGGTTGGTAAACCGTAAAAAAACTAATCAATCAAAGATGTTCAATCATATTATTCTATAATATGATGCTCAACATAATCGACATTAAATAACTTTAAATTAACCTACCACTTCTAACCTGTATATACAACCCAATTAATCTTGTTAAGAAATGCACGTTTCCTGTTGAGACATTTCAAAGTTTATATTTGCTAACTCGAAAAATAAACTTTTTAATGAATTTTTAGTCCGACATTATTTCATATATAACTCGTCTCCCGTCCAGGACTCGAACAATAAACGCACGAGTCACAGCGCTCCAATATACCGATGACAACTACACCATGGCCCCTGAATTCGAAGACCTCCAGAACTCAGCTGGGCATCCTCTCCAGAGCGCACACGCGATACGGACTCACCATCAACGTGGCAAAAGAACAAGGTCCTGCTCCAAGCACGACCGAGACATCAACCACAATCTGGAGCCCAAATCGGACTGGATCCAGCGAATGTTGAACAATTTCTATACCTTTGTAGCGTACTAATATCAAAGGCATCCGTTGAAAAAGATGTTGATAACTGAATCAACACTTCGCGGAGCAGGAGGTGAAGCTATTCTTCGACAATCCTGGCGTAACACAAACCACCAGGCTCATGGTCTACCGAGCTGTTGTAATCTCGACTCTCCTGTACGCCTTCAAGCCCTGGATAATCTACCGAAGAGACATCCGCAAATTTGCAAGATTCCATCAAATGAAACTTCATCGAATCCTGTGGAACACGTGGCAGGACCGTATCACGAATAACGATGGTCTTCTGCACGCAAAAATAAAGAACGTTGAAACCGTTTTGACTCGCCACCGACATCTTGCCCGGATGCCAGACACCCGCCTGTCCAGACAAATCATCTTCTCAGAGATCGCATCTGGCTCGAGACAACGTGGAGCTTCATGTCGTCGATTCAAGGATCAGCTAAAAAAAACACCTTGCTGAGGACAGAAATCGATCTGTTCAATTGGGAGACGGTAACTGCAGAAAGTGCCAATATGAGAAGAGCAGTTCACGAAAAACACCAGACTGCGAATAGAAGAGTCAAAGGGATCCCAAAGAAAAACCAGAGCTTTTTTATCCCCTGAATCTTCCTACGCTACCATACGTTGACTATGGATGTCTCTTCAGATCGAACATAGTTATCATTTCGCACAGAAGGACATAGAAATGGACACCGTAATACTCAGCAACGAGTTTCGTCAGCAACGATTTCTTATTAGTATAAACATTATATTTAGTGGGTACATCTATTTGTAGATTTCCCTATTTCTAAATAGTGATATTAACACCTACCGGCCTGGGTAATCTAACATCTTATCAATTAAAATATGCTTCTCATCACGGATCGAAATTACGTTCTGTTTATCCTGCATACTCTCTTAAAGGGAAAAGCATGTTAATCGCGCAACTATGAGAAGCCACTGCAACAAATCAATTACCCATTTAACAAATACACGTTTCTCGTTGGGACATTTCAGAGTCTATGTTTGCTAACTTTATTTTCGTACCCGAAACGTAAACAAATGATTTTATAGTCCAACGTGATTTATCATTACAATAATTTTTCGGCGCAGTATAAGATGTAGAAAAAATAATAATAAAAGAAATACTGTTCATGATTCCCTGTAGATCAATGTATGCCTGAAGAAGGCTGGAGTGAACAACGGCCGGTAAGTTGTGATAACAACGACAAAGATGAGGACAATAGCCCGAATATAATCTTGTAAATAATGATAAAACCACTTCCCAGAAATTCACGTAGAAAATACAGTCACGAATTTAAGCAATTAGAACACACTCCAATAGATACAATAAAAATTTGCAAACACCTTCTCATCTCAAAGAATTAAGGCGAAAAATGTTTCCTTTCCTATATAGAAAAAGAAAACAATATATAAAACCTATTAAGGGCAAGTGGAACTCGAGTATGTCACCGGCCACCATCTTTTAGAACGGTTCATTTTTTCCAGCTTTCTCTTGGAAACATTTGTTAGGAGAAACACGCGAGAAGAATTGGGTGGGGGGCTTTTAAAAGTTTCAAAATACTGAACGGAGAATGGATTGTAACCCATTTTTAGATACTGAATGCTTAAACCCGTGGAGAAGATGAGTATTGTCAGGTTGTAGTCATAAACATATAGAAACATGAAGAACTGTAATGCACAAAATGATCTTATTAAATCTATGATCCAGATCCCAAACGGATCTCCATATAGAAAACAGCCTTCCTGATTTCCCTTCCGAGGTCAATGTATTGATGATGAAACGGGTGATACTGATGACATAGCTAGTGATAGTTGGTATAAGAATGATCCTGAACAGAAAACCAACATCATGAATCAAGTGTTCCAAGAAATGGGACTTTGGATAAACAAAGAACAAACTAAGAACTCTAATTGAAATGAAAAAACGATGGCGCCCGCCCCCTCCCCCCCTGAATTCATCATGAAAATTTATGATGTGTAATCTCTATCTATAAAAGGCAGGATGTGTGTGTTTTTGTGTGTGTGTGTGTGTGTGTGTAACGAATGCACGCCCGCAATTTTCGACGGTTTTGCACCAAAATTTACAGGTACATGCTCCAAGTTAGCGGCAAGGCCAAGACCGACTTTGCATTTCCCAACTCCCATCGATAGTGGAAATAATCGAGTTTTTCATGCTTCTACGGCAGTTTTCATGTAATTTGCGGTCATTTTCTACTGGCCAGAGTAAGAGCCTATAGCTGGCTGCCACGAATGGGCAAGAAGATTCTATTGGCCAGCGTGAGAGCCAACAGCTGACTGACAGGAATGTTAACTAGCATGCAAAAAAAATCTATAGCTGCATTCGTCACAAGTGTCAAAATTTAAATCTGCATGGCACTTTACTCCAATTGGCTCATTCGTTTGTTAATATTCAACGTTGATTCTGATTCCGCAGAACTGGGTTGGATGTGAAAAAGTATTTGTTGTTAACATTCATTTTTCATTCGGTTTTTCCAGTTACGAGTCCTTTTTTTCAAGCTGATCGTTTTGTGTTCCTTTTGTTTAGTTCTTTTTTCGTAATAGATTTAATGTTTAGTGTAGAGCTTAGAAAAAAAATCGCAGTGTGAGATAGGCAAGAAGTAAGGCATGTAGCAACATCAGCACGGTAAAGGACACTCCTTTAAAGGCAAGGAAGGGCAAAAATATTTTAAGTCAAGTGATAGTGATTGCTGCATGAGTCGTACGATTTTTTTAATCAAGCACGTGCAACGCCGGGCCATGCTGCTAGTTAATAAATAATAAATATGTCGAATGCAACGGGTGATGGACCAGTTATAACAAATTTCGTATAAGAGGTAAGGAAATTCAACATAGAATACGTTGCGCTAGATAGTTTCGTCCAACATTCATGTTCTTAAATAACCTTTTCAAAGCGAGACTTTCACGTGGATGTCACGCATAGCGTCAAGCCCGTTGAGAAATGTCTAAACTAACAGCGGTATACCACAACTTTCCCAGAACAAAAATGACTTTGAGCAAATGAAGTCTGTAAATCATAGCGTTGGCCATCTTTCTTCGAACCTCGTGATCCGATGCTACGCAATTACAAAGATCTTTATTAAATATCAAAATCCACATCACGTGGGGACTTTCAACAACTACATTTAAAATGGATACCGCATGTAACTTGAAGGAAAATAATCAAGACATTGACACTCTACAGTACCTCAAATAAAAAGTTAGAAGGAAATCCTCCATCAGTATTGGAAAGAGCTATAGCAGTTAATGGATATGAAAAACCTATGTAACTGAAAAATTGTTTACATAGAAAAATTTAGTAAATTTCAATCGAGTGTAAAACTGGCTGCTCGGTCAAGGAATACCGAATGTTTCCTTATAGGGAAACGGCTAATATTGCTATTACCATGGTCAATTTGACGGTGAATCATTTTTGCTTCATTCTTTTTTTGTATGTGCTTCACAGACGAAAGTAACACGGAAAAAAAAACATTATTCAGTTGCAATCATTCGTATCTTTAATTTCGTATCATTTTAATAATTTGATTTATATTCAAATATTTATAAAAAGCGAAGGAGGCCTAAATATGAGGATTTTAAACAAAAATATGTAAATGTTTACTTTTTTCTTTCTTTCAATCTGTGATGAATGCGGTACCTAGAAAAGATGGCGGCATCGTATATAATCTTTCCTATCAGTTCATGATCTTTAGGTCAGTGATTTCCAACGTGCCTGGGGGCACTGAAAAGATCCAGCGGACAAAATTGGGCAAACAGAGGGTAGCGGTGGCACACCTGTATCATAACACACACCACACGTATACACATTGTACCTGAAGTGTATGTTGCCTTCAATTTACAACGTATAAAATTTATATAACAATTATCTTATGGCAAATCATGAGATACGCATTTGACATGGAATACTAGCACTAAAAAAATCCAATAAAAGATTGACTATACATTTGGTGGAGGGGCGGTAGGATTTTGTTTTGGTAAATAAAGTCAACCCCTCCAAAAAAAACGTTTGGGAACAACTGCTCTAGGCAATGATAATGTTGCGATAGGACGAAGAAAATACAACTCAATTCGCTTTGCTTATCGTTGAGAGATCTCGATTTATTTCTGTCTATAAAAGGCAGGATGTGTGTGTGT